GATAACACCAAACAAAAAGCACCCGGCAGGCCCGGCCCCCTCCATACCAGAGGGATTTCTATCCCCAGCCGCCAGCAGTCGGTAAGGGGCTACCCTCTGCCTGCCCGACAGCCGGGGACGCGTGCCATTAGCTCCGAGCCGATAGCCAGATTACACGCAATCCTCCGGAGAAAGGAACGCTCCCAGGAGACCAGCTGCTCAAATCGCCACATAAATCTTGCTCGCCACCGGTAAGAGATGCTTATTCAGGGACAGAAAGGAAAATACAGCTTAGCATAAGCCACTCCAACGCAAAGCCAGACAGGCATTCAAGCCTGCAGACGGTGCTTTTACACCTAGAACAACTCAATTGCATCCTAGGAACCGCAGGCCCGTATCTGCGAGGCAGCAGCAGATGTATTTGGGTTAGGCTGAACTGAGCTCGGGACGTTAGCTGGCACCGCAGGCGGGCAGAGCCCCCGTCGCACAGCCGGCGTAGGCGCGATGGATACGTGCCAGGCTGCTGTGTGCCACGCCGAGGCTCTGCCCCGGACCCTCCAGTGGGGCCCTGCTAGAGCATATGGCAACTCCTCCCTGCCCAAACGCCCCGGCTTCCTTCTGAAAGGAGCTGCACTGCACGGGGGAGATGGCATGCAGCAAGGTCTCCTCTCGGCAGGAGGGTGGCTCAAGCACTGCCCCAGCGTGCGCACGGTCGAGTAGGAAAAAAGAGAAATCGGAGGCTCTCTAAAACGTACAATTCAGGGGTTTTTTTCCTCAAGTTCTGTCCCAGAGGAGCTGCTAGAGGCCACTGTTGGCACCAAGCAGGATAAACCAGCGGGCAGGAGATGAAAGGGGAAGAGAATGCAGTCCACGTAGTTACCACAAAGGCCATGCACAGCGCTACGTACATGGAGAAGAGCCTGCACTTACAAACCCCTCATCTTTTGCAAGTAGGTAATAAAACTTGACTCTCTTCCAAGCTGAGATCAATAGCTTGTGATGGAAACCGAATTTTATTTTAATGAAAATAACAACAGCAAACAGCATGTGAAGTGATGCAGTCAGCAGTAAGTCATCTTTCCATAACACCAATATTTTGAGTCACCTTTAAAAATGGCTCAAAGGGCGTATAGTGCTTTAACGCTGTACGTGCCTTCTGACACTGTAAATCCGCATGTTCAGGCCCTATCCTTGGTTTCAATACAGGTCATAAATGGCACCCTTTGGACCCTTGTCCCCGATTTGAGGGGGGGCCCAGGTCCCCGACAGGCTCTGGAATGAGCTCAGGCAGGAGCAAGGAGCCCGGGAGCAGCCAGCAACAAGCCATGAGGGGTGGGTGCTGCCTACAGCACCATCCGTCCAAGGAGTTCAAGAACCCACAGGGAACATTTCTCAGCGAAACGTGCGAGTATTGGTAAAGATTCACGGGGACATTAGCTCAAACTTCCAGCTATGAAAGGACTTCTGATAAGGAAAAATAGGCTTTAAACTTGAAAGGGAACACAAAGGCCGGGGGGGGGAAAGGCACAAGTTACTTGACACGGAAACTACACAAAGGATTCATCAGGACAAGTTCATGCTTTCAGTTTCCAAAAGTTAATACAAACTTTCATCGCAGGAGGAACCGCTCCCTCCCGCAGCACATTTCTTACCCAGCAGTTCAGAGTTGTGCTTACTTTGATGTAAAGAAGGATGCAGCAGTCGCTTCCATAGGAAGCTCCTACTCCAGAGCCCAGGCCGGTGACTGGTGACCCTGCCTTGGTGAGGTCCCCGGGTGAACCTCACAAGCTCACAGACCGTGGACAGTCCGCACCATGGGCAGGGGCTCCACTTCATCCATTAATCCACACCTTAAAGGCAGGATTCTTCTGCCTCATGTTCAGCCCCACATTTAAAAACCAAAAAGCATACAGAACGCAACTTACATCCTGTTTTTTTAAAGAAGGGATTTCATCACCCGTCTTCAGGAGATGCTTCCGAATAGCGTGCCCCATGCGACAAACATCTGCCACCCCGCAGTTCTCATTAGCCAGATATCAATCCTAGGAGTGACTTGCCTTCCTTACTTCCCATAAGGCCCAGCCCAGGTAGCTGCAAGGCTTGGCTGGATCTTATTTGAGTTGTGTAACTGGACAGCCCCGAGCACACACAGCCTCCTTCCAGGGGTCCCGCTCCCACCCGAGGAGGCCAGGTGATGGAAAAGAAGTGCTGCAGTTGCCAACATTGCCCTACTCAAGTGCTTTATAACTATTAAGATATCAGGCTGGATCTAAGCAGCGTACTGCCAAAGTCGGGGAAAGAATGAGAGGAATGAGGGAAGAGGGAGGGAAGGGGACGGGTGGAAAATTCAGCCGCAGAACCGCGAGTTAAGAGATCAAAGAAAGATGACTACTTTCGCAAAAGCGAAGAGACAGATGGATACAAACTGTGGAGATTAGCAATGGGAGTGTGTGACGCCCTGTATGCTGCCATCAGACATGGCGTATGAGACGCAAAACCTGTTAAATTAAGAGAAGAAATCCAATCTGTTATGTTGTATATCTGTGTGCTTTACGAGGCCATTACCATGGAATCTGGGTGCTTCACATTCCATTTTAAACGAACACATCTAATAAAGTGAGTCACTCAATGCAAGACTTAAAAATAGAAAACTTATAATCACCACCACTACAGTTTGCATAATTTGCCATTGGCACAGTGGCATTGTCTAATTCCATCTTTCTCCTTCTTTCCAAAAGCTTCTCAGGTAAGTTCTGGATGATGAGAGCCCCAGACCGATGTCCCTCCAGGCCAAGCTGAGTCTTGAGCTGCCTCTGCTTCTCCAGACAGCTGAAGTCGCTTCCCTCAGCTGCCTCTAATCCAGCTTTTGATCCTTCTTGCAGGACTACTTAAAAGGTGGCTGCTGCGACAGCGCACAGAAAGCAGCGGGACGGGCCACAAGTAGGATTCTTACTGCAGTTGCCGTAAGTGTTTAAAGCTGTACTATTTATTCTGAGTGCGTTACCGGCAGTTTATGGGTGTGCAATGCAGGAAGTGGCCAAGTAACGAGAAAAAGGGGATGTAATCAGAAAAAAATCCCATTAGCACCCCCCTTAACAAGATCATCTACCAGCTCTCCTATAGCTTTTTTTTTTTTTTTTTAAAAGCAAACAAGACTGAAGTGGTCAATACATAGGGTGTCAGACCGCATTAACCAAAGCGAGTATCTTAGAAGCAAGTGATTAAAGCTTAAGCCAGCCCAAACTGAAGACGCTTCCCCTGCAGCGCTATCAGCCATCAAGCATCTCTCTCCTCGGCTGAAACGGGTCTCACCTCACCGGCTGCCCTGCCCGACTTGTTACCTGGCCAGCAAGGACAGCAGACGAGAGAACAAAGCAGCACGCTTTGAAGGGCAACCAAAGCTTGTTATCTGCCTCACCGGCAGAAGCCTGGGCCACTGACTCACGCGCTCGTGACTCCCACATGCCATTACTGTAAGCCATAGCTGTAATGAAGCCACACACCAAGAAAGAGTTCCAGTGGGTGCAAAACATGGCTGAAACACCACGGCAGAGTCCATCCTCCAGGTCCTCTCCGACAGCCTCTGATGCTTACTTTGGGTTCTTAAACACAAGTTACGTCACTTTAATTAAAGTAATTATCCAAGAACTACCTCATCAACCAAGCACAGAAACATAACCCACAACAGCTAGACAGCTCACAGGGTTACAAGTCCCTTTCAGCCTCAGACCACACCACAAATTTGTAAGTTCCTGTACACAGAACTCAAAACCCGAAAACCCCGCAGGCCACCCTGCACTAATAAGTGGAAGCAAAGCAGCAGTTTACCATATGGGGAAAATCCTTCCCACGCTCCAGGACAGGCAACTAGCTCGGCAACCATGCCCAAAAGTAGTTGCAGCACTTGTCATGCACAAAAATAAAGGAAAAACAAAGCACAAAATAGGCGTACTATCCTCATCCCTTCCCTGGGTCCCTGCTGATCCAAACTACTCAATTTGCTTTCTGCTCTCGGGTGACCGAGACCTTCCCACCCAGCGCTACATGATACCCAACTGCTTTAAGCTGTATCCTACAAGGAACAAACTTTTTCGGCTTCTTTTTCCACTACTTGTATTTTTACCCTCACCACTTTTTCTTCTTCTGTTTCATAACCCTCATACAAAACCAAAAATGTCTTACAGCTAACAAGGGGCAAAGTCCAATTTGTAAATTTTCCTTGGGATTTCAGATAGCAATAATTTTGCCAGAGAAACCAGTATGTTTGCGAGAATAAGGCAATACTTACAGACAGCAACGGCTGTAATCCCAAGCACTGTACCTAAGAACTAACAGGAATACAAAGAAACACTGAGGCCATGAGCATTTCGAGTTTTCCCCATCATACAGACATCATAATGTGTTTATCAAGTTTTGACATAAAAGTCATTAAATTCCCTCCCCTCCTGTTGAAAGACTACTTAAAACCTGCCACCAAGGAGGGGGAAACCTAGCCTCCGGCCTGATTACTGACTAAATGTACGCAGGAGGATTTCCATACTTTTTTGTTCTTGTACCAACATTGCCTTTAGCTTCATTAGTTCAAAGTCATTCTTGCTTTCTATATTGGTGGGGGTTTCTATCAGCCATAAACCCCACCACACGCGCAATTCAAACTTGCAAATACTATAAACCAATTACAATCATTAGAAAGAAGTGTTGTTAGATACAGTTAATTTATAGCTGTTCACCCCTTTTTTCTGATATTCTTCCTTCCCCTCACATTCAATGCAGACATTTGATTAGACAGCCTACCAATTCAGCTCGATACTAACGCTGACCTATATCCACCGTTTCCTTCCCCCTTCTAGCCAAACGCTAAAGGAGAAAGGATTAAAAAACAAGGTGCTTTGCTTATTACAAGACGGGACATAGACCTGCATACACAAACAGGTACCTGCTCAAAAAATAACTACAAATTAGGTGATTGCTTAGGTGTGTCAAGGAAGTAGCCTAGTTTTATACACAGGAATAAAGATTGAGACCTGATAGTACATGCAAATCTAATCCCAGAGGAGGGGCACGCATTCAATACCATTTTGAAATCAGAATCAACACTTGGTTTGAGAAACACTTTGCCAAGCAAAAAAGGCACAGTCTAAGACTTTGTACCCAGCCACCAGGGAAACGACAACCTGGGCTCCGTCAGCATTGTCAGGATATAACTCAGGGCGAGCTCATCTGGCATTTGGAAACCCCTCTCGAGACAGAGCTACACACACGCTTGGGAACCTGGCTCAAAGGAAGTTAGGTAGGGATACGAAACGTTTCTAGAAGCAATACCATGATACCGTAAGCACAGTTTTGGTTCATTACGTAATAAAAATGGTTTTCTAAAATAATGTTTTTGGGAAGAAACAGGCTACCTCTGCATTAGCAAGAGCTGTGACACAGCTGCAGCGGAGCCCTAAAGCGCAACAGCTGCCGCTGAGAACACAGCCCCCATGGTCTCTGTGCTCTGCATCATTTACTCCCAAGTAGCTCCAATCTGGTCCCACGAATACCCATGGAGCAGCTGAAGCACATGAGGCCTCCCTTCTTCAAAGGGTCATCTTCCCACTTTTGCCCCATCTGCTTCAGAATTCGTTTTTTCCAGCCTCTTATTTTTATTTTGTGTTAGTTTCCCTTTTTAGCCAGCACCCAGCTTTCCAGCGCCTCCCACCCTCCCAAGAGCGCCCAACAAGGAAGGGGACAGGCCTGTGCCCGGCCATCTGCGCCCCTCTGGAGGCCGAACCTGGCGGTCCTGCTCACGTCTGTCAGCTCACATCAGACACAGGGCACACCCATGACGGTAAAGCTAATCTCCAAAAAAATGCAGGCTCAAACTACAACCGGAAGGCTGAGCAACAAACAGATTAACTAGTTTATACAACTAGACTATCAGACCACTGATTTCAACTGAGCATGGGCCATTTGAGAAAAGGTAAAATCATTCTTTAAGTCCTGTTTGCCAGCATGTAAACAAGCACTATGATAAAAGCAAGCTGTTGCTTAACAGAGCTCCTTGTAAATGCAAACCCTTGTTTTGAAACCATCGAGATACTTACATGGGAAAGTAGAAGATAATAATTGCAAACTGACTTCTTTCTTTTAAATATTTGATAAAGCTTGCAGAGACTTGTGTGAAGACAAAGCAGGGTAGCAGAAAGGAACCTGTATGAGCTTTCATTTGGAAAACTAGTTTGCATTAACGGCCTTTGAACCTACCACATCCATCCAGCTTCCCAAATTTCTATTACTGAGGCATCACCAGGTAGCAATGGATCGCTAGAGAAAACACTAGAGTATGTAATAAGGGCCTAGCTCACAAAGTTATTATTACCATGCTCCCGTGCATGCATACATGTGCACACACACATAATTAAGCAAAACAAAGTGTATATCCACATACACGCAACCGAAGTAACACTATAAATTAGACAGAAAGCGTGGGTATGATTTTTCATGCACACACATGCCTGCTCAAAACTTTCATCCAAAGTTAGACTAAATAGAACTGGTAAATGGCTAAAATTAATAGTATTCTGCTTACTGCTATTATAGAAGAGCCAATACTGGATTTTGCCTTGGCTATCAACCCTTGAAGATCTTGAAGTCTTTACTAGCTAATCGTCAGTCACTGCTCATCACTAAGCATTTCTGAGGAACCGTACCTACGAGTAAGTGAGAAAGAGAAAAGGTCTGATTAACTTTGACTTAAAAATACGCCATGCTCCTAACAGCTGCCTCTCCAAGCTTGCTTCTCATCCACAGTCAGAAGATCATCTTACAAAGGGACTTCAGAGTCCACAGGCCAACGTCAGTGTAATTACACTTGAGCAAACCTCTCACGCAGGGAAACTTTCTGGGTGGAACCCCCATCACAGAAGAACAGTCATGGTTCAGAGGGAGGTCAGTACAGAAGCAGACTGCAAACACGGAGAATGAAAATAAGACATACGGCAGAGTCTAGCCAGGACCCGAGAACCACCAGAAGACAAATGCAAGAGTCCGTAGTGGTAACAGACTCCTGTGTCCACAGCGCTCCAAGTTCTCAAGGGAAAGCAGCCCTTGCCTCCGCAGCTGCCACGCACGTAGCTGGAAACCTGGCGAGGCTGGAGATGGGCTCCTGCCGTGCATTCCATGCCCTTGCTCCTCGAGAAAGCTCAGGGCAGCTGCGGCAGGCACTGCTCTCCGACGTGAGGGCTTCTTACAGCAGTAGAGGGACATTAGGAAGCGCGTGAAGGAGCAGGGCAGAGAAGAAAAGTGCAACTACTTCCGAGCGGAGGAGGGAGAGCCCCTGCTTCCTAGCAGCGGGTGGAGAGAAGCTCGCTTTCAATGCGCCTTTACTACCAGTTTACAGTAAATAGTAGAGCAAGCTCAGCAGGTTGGAGATCTGGCCATTTTAAACTCCAGGTCTCCACACACACACATTTATATCTTTTCCTGTAGCAACGGGGTTACAAACATTTACTGAAGTGGCTGGTTAGAAGAAGTAAGAACTCAAAAAGGTTTAGGACCTACTTGTTACACCGATACGCTCCCACCCAGAATCAGTCCCAGGAAAGCGTTCAATGCAAGCGAGAAGCAACCGTTTTCCTTTCCCAAAGTTCACCATAACTACAGCTATGCTATTCTTTGCCCAGCATTCACTTTTTTTTTTTAGTAAGAGGAGATGCTGTGTTCTACCAGCTCTGTCAGAGGAAGAAGGTCTAGTGAGAGAGTTCTGCAAACCTCCCTGTTTTGTTACACCTCAATCCCTACACACGTGCAACCAGCTGTCCATAGGGAGATGGGACACTAGGGCTGTATCCCCGCTGACGGGGACTTGGTGGGGAGCTCAGCCCCCGAGCAGGATGGCAACACCGACCCACGGGACAGGTGCCGAGGGCTTTACATTACCTCCACGGAACAGCCACACACCCAAACAGGGGCCATCCCTTCCACCCAAAAGCCTAAATAAAAGCGAGGGGAGGGGGCCGGGAGCCCCCGGCCCCTGCTGCACTTTGCCAAAGTGAGATCCGGAGGAGAGGCAGTAACGGTGGGTTTGCTGCGGATTTACGCTACGGGCAACTTCAGCGGTGAAGCCAGGGTCGCCACACGCCCGCCCGGGCACAGACCCCGCA